AAAAAACAAAGATCAATAATTTTCGCTTATTAATTTGTAAATAAGTATAATATTCAAGAAGATACTACGATAAGTGTTTATAATTACTACAAATATAATAAAGTATTTGTACTATGATTAATAAATAGCTCATCAAGTGCCTAATACTAGTATAGAATGACTCAAAAAGCATCAAATGCATAGTATGAAATAGAACTATTCCGATGAATAGAACAATATCATACACAAAACAGAGTGAGTACATTTCCCACAAATACTGGTTAGAATATTTGCGTAGATGAAATTTTATTATTTGTAGTTAATTTGGCTTGTAGTATTTGATTATATAAATTTATATTAGTAAATCTGCTTATGTAGTTATCGTCGTTTATTGATTGATATAGATCATATAATGGAAGGACCAAGAACTGTGAAAAATGTTGTGGACAGAGTCCTTCGCATTTTTTTGTTACTTTTATTTTCTGTTTGTTCTTAGACGATTGAACTGACTAGAATGTGTTTGGCTGCCAGAAATACTTTGGTTTTGTCAGTTTCAGAGATACTTGTAAATAATGATCATTGTATTGGATTTCGTAGTGTGGACAGAGGATGAGATAATTGTTCTGATATGACTATGGTTCATATCGGTTTTCACATTGTGATTTTACTGATCTACAAGAAACAAGAAAGGGGAATTTTATTTTTAAGAATTATATAAAGTTATAGAATTAAAAGAATGTTGAAAATTCAATGTCGTGGAAGTATATTATGAAAGAAGATACAGTTTTAGAAATGATTTTATATATGATCTAGTTTTCACTTAATTGTTGATTTGGAAGAGTTAGTGCTTCCCATTCTTCCATCTGAATTATTTCCTGATCATTTGGTTCTTGTTTTTGTTCTTCAAGTATTTCATTATCCATCGTTTGAAGAGCATCGATTTGTCTTAATTGTTCAATATCATCTTCTAGTTGCGATATATATGCTACAACAGAAGGATCTTTTAAGTCAGTTGATTTATCTTGTTCCCATTGTTCTAACTGAATCAGTTCTTCCTCTTCTTGTAATCTTTCAATATGATCAATTTGCTGTAATTGTTCGAGTTCATGTTGCATTAATGCTAATTGTTCGAGATGTTCGAGAACAGCAAATCCTTCTAATTCATTTATTTGTTCTTGTTCCCATCGTTCCTTTGGATTCATTCTGTCACACATATATGCTTCTAAAAGTGGCTCGCTGTACATTTCGTCCATTGGTTCTTCCATTGGATCAGAAGGATACAGTATACGATCACGGTAATTTTCCTGTTGTCGTCGTTGATCTCGTTCAAGTTCCCATTGGCGTAGACGTTCTTGCCATCGTTGATATCGTTCGTGCCGTCTTTGTAAACTTCGACTTGAATAATGTCTTTGTTGCTGTTGTTGTTGTAGTGTCTCGCGTTGCTCTTGCCTTCGTTGACGATTCCGTTGACGTCGTCTTCGTCGAGCTTCGCGTTGTTGAGATAGATTGTTATGTTCAGACGTGTTTGTAATCATTGGTATTTGACTTGGAATCATATTTGTCATGTTGAATGATAGTGGTGATGATTGACTGGTAATTATAGTTTCAGCAACTAACAATTGATTGATATTAGATTCGTTTTCATTATTTTGAGATGATGATCCAGTCGGACTATGAGGAATTTGACTGCTGTTTATGTTCATTCTAAAATAGAAGTTCAAAAATAAAAATAAACATAAAACAATTACATTGTCATTTATTTTGAAATATCAAATACGTTGTACTTACATATAATAATTTGATATTTCTTTTGTGAGGAAAATATATAAATATATATGTGTATGTGTATGTTTGTATCTGGAAAAATAAAATTAATAGAAAACTTCTATTCCATAAATTAATATTGAATAGAACTTATGAATAAAACAGTCACAAATTTTAACACTACTTTAATTGTTTTTAGTAATACAGAATGTATCTGAAATAGAAAATCAATATGAATAAGATAAGAAAAAGGTATATATTTCAGGTCATTTTTTAATTGTTTGCAACACGTAATTGCTGCGTTGTATAGGATGTGAGTGTCAAGCTATCACGATCTAGATTTCGACCTTGCTTAAGGGTCTTATTAAATGGTGTTTTATCTTAATCTGAATTCAAATGAAATATATGATATTCTTGTTGTGTCGTGGAGTATATCGAAAAGCATTATCTAAATAGAAGAAGAAATGATTTCATGGAACAAATATTCATTTAATGAGAATGACTCGATAATGAATTGAATGGTCAAACATCAATGGCTAGTTAAAGTTGACATAACTTAATTTTCGAGCATAAAACCACGATAAGTCATGTCATATGTTCTGACTTATTATAGATTTTTTTGTCGTTTTTATCTAAAATGAAATGAAATAATATAGATTATAGTCCAATGACAAGATAGAAAATAAGAACCAATATACAATAATAATAGTAATAATAATAATAATAAGTAAATACAGTCACTACAATTTAAAATTAACATGTACGATATAATCTCCTACAGGAATACACAATGTTGCTAATTTGAATCATCTAAATCAAAGGATTAGTATATGTTATTTTCTTTTATTATGACGAGACATGTATTGGAGATATTCAAAAGAATTATTTTCTTGTTGTGATTGATATAAATCCTAGTAATGAAATTAATGATTTCAAAAGATATATATTAAATCTTTCTTTACAATCTATAGTTGTAATCATACCTGATTCGATTGTTTTTCAGAAAGTGTTATTAGATTTTGTAAAAGAATTTCCTCCCATTGTTCTTGATCTTCTAATTGTTTGGATAGTTTCAGTTGATATTGTTGTTTTTCTTCTTCTTTTAATTCTTCAATGTATTCAATTTGTTTTATATATTCTTTGTATTCGTCTTCTAACCATTTTATATCACCATCTGACCCTATTTCATAGTCGTTGACTTGCTGCTGTGAATATCTTTCATGATTTTGATCAGTCGTATGAGATTTTATTTCTGAGGATATTGCACATAGCTCATCTTGATTGAGACGTTGTTGTTGTTGTTGCGGTGCGAATATGTGTATTGATGAAAGTATTTCATGTTGACGATCTTGAATATCTTTACTGGGAGCTTTTAATATTTCTTGATTATTATTGTCGATATTCATATTTGAAAGATTATTCTTTTTTCGTTTGTTTTTATCTAGAAGACGAACAACAATGAAATGAAAACATTTAATGTCAAGAATTAAATAAGAAATGACAAAAAATTGAATCTCGTTCAATAGATAACTAATCTAATAAAAACTACAAAGAGAGAAGAAAAAAGAAGACAATCTAGATGAATAAATGAAAAGAATAAAAAGCTCAACTTAAAAATGTATTTTCTCTTTATTGAATAATGGATGAGATGGTTTTTGTTGACTTAATAAACCGTTTAATGAATATTGATGGATAGTTGTAAGATTAATCGTTAATTGTTGTTTCGTAAAAGGAATCTTTTTGTCGACCAAATTGTTTGATAAGATTTCTTGTAATTGTCTATTAAATTCGTGCTTCGGACCAAATTCATATAAATAATTCAATCGAATCAATTGGTTATTCTTCTCTAATTCTTTATTTTTCAAATGATATTCTTTTTGTTCACCTATATAATTCATTAGACGACGACGAAGTTTATCATATTCATCTTGATTCGAAACTGAAAGAAGTGATGTAGCATCAAAATATTTAAAAAAATGATGAATACGATCATCAACAAATTCTAATGAATAACCATTAACTAAACAAGTTGTTTGTAAATAAAATCGTTCTTGATTAAAATCATAGACAGATGTACAATAACGAACTGCACGTATAAGTGCCGATCGTAGCCAATGACTATGAGCTCTTTTAGAATTACCAACGACATATGGTAGAGTATATTTTTGACTATTTGAACCATGATAAACACGTGTAAACAATGTACCATGATAATTTGAAACATGTACGTCTAAGAATGGAACAGTTGAATCTACTTTTATATCAAAATCTAGATGTGCATGTTCACTACCAAAAGTTTGAAGAAGTTCATGAAGTTCATTTTTTGATCGATTCCATGTAAAAAAGATTTGATTTTGACATCTATATAATAACGATAAGAAAAAAAAAGCATAAACAAGTCTTGTTTGATTGTGATAAAAACAACTAAAATCATTTTACCTGCCATAAAAGTGTGTTTGTAATGAGAGTTTGTCTAATAATACCTTTTGCCAATAGAATGCATAGATATGACATAATGTTTCGCTCAGTAGCAAACCTTTTGGACTACCTCTTGTACAACGATATATTTTATTATTATAATAAAAATAATTATTTTTTAAAAATAATTCTGTTAAATCGTAGAATTTCATTTGAGAAATATTTCTTGCTACTGGTGATTGATCTAGTTTATCAAATAGAAAATTTTTGACAACTTCAAGCATCTGTTTATGAAATAGCATAGTATGATAATTTTTAATAGTAATTGTTACCAACATTGTTTTTGAATTAAAATCATTTTTCTTATTATTCACGTATACATTTAGTTTTTGAAGAAAATCAGTACCATTGATAAATGTAGTTGGTTCTATAGCACGTTGAATAGTAGGTCGAAGTAATTCATCTAAAAATTGAGACAATCGTGATGTTATACTAGATTTGGATGATACTGCTATGATTGCTTTTAATGATATATCATTTTTCTAAATAGAAAAAGAAAAGAAAAAGTAATAAAATAAATAAAAGAATAGGAAGATTATACTTTAGAGACATCAGGTAAAAAATATAAATATGATAATTGAATTTGATCAAAATCGATCTGTAATTTCTTGAATTCGTTGTCTTTATCGTTTTTCTTATTGAACATTCTTTCTATGTTTGAGTTTATTGATCCTACAATATCATTTAAATATTTATATGTTGGTCGAAGATTGGCTTCATTGACATCTTGACAATATTCAAAATCATCTGTTTTCATTATATATTCATTTGCTTTATCTTCAAAATCTTTTCTATTGCCAAGATAGAAATTATTTCTTTGATCAGTTGTTCGTCGTAAAATTAGATCGTTTTCTTTCAGATAGATTCGAATTGATTGTACTAATTCATTTTCATATTTAGCACGTTGATGATTTGTCGATGTTAATGAAGTAGAAAATATGTTAACGTACAGATCTTTAATTTGTTTATTGAGATTTGCAGATTTAATTTTGTCTATGTTATATTTTGGAAATAGAATATTTAATTCATGTTGCAATACTTTATATTGATTTTTTGTTCTATCAATCAAAAATTTAGATGATTCGGATGACGGCAATGAAACATAGGATTGACATGGTGGCACATATGTAGGTCCACGATTTAAAAGTTTTAGTTGTTCAGTGGATAGAGGACGATGATGTAATGATGTATCAATAAATATTGTTGGTGAACAAGAAAGAATTATACCATTATTTATATGTTCTTGTTGAATGTCATGATCAGAACTTCGTAGATAATAATCCATTCTAAATTGACCTATGTATTCTAGTTTTTTATTAATAATTTTAAAGCGTCGAAATATAAGATC